GCGTCGGAAAACCTGATTTATTCGTGTACGCACCAGACGGAAAAACAAAAAATATCGTGTATCCACAAACACTCCAATAAATAAATAGAATTGAAACGACACTTTGAAATGTTTTCCCGATGAAAATGAATAATAATAATAAGTTTCAATAAAAATAATAAAATGTAAATTGAATTTTATCATAACGAGTTTGCTTGAATTTCCTTTCTTCTGAGATCGCAGCAATGCGCGACGGGTAAGCTAGTGAAGTAATGAAAATCACATCTGAGAAATAAACAGTATTTTAGAGCTCACAATGGAACCTGAAATTGATCTGACGACAGAAGAACTCTCAAATGAAGAATACCAAGAAACTCAGTGAGATGTATTTTTTTTTGAAAAAGTGGAAGACGAAAGAGAACCAATGTCAACATCTGCTACTAAAGATCTTTTGAAGAAGTGGGACGATGTAAGAACAACAATCATCCAAGTGGCATCCAAACCAGAATAAGGTTAATGGGGTTGGTGATCTCTACAATTACAATACTATTAATTACTTCCGAAAAATCCTGAAGAAAAGAGAAAGCAATTGACATTGGACAGATTCTTTAACCCCCACAAACGGGAAAAACATGATTAATAAAAATGCAAGACTGCATGTATATGTATTTTTACTATTATATATAAATAAACGTAGTAAAAAAGTATTTATTTTTTTATCTTTTTGGAGTCTCCAGAACAAATTAATCAAATTCCCATAAAAACCTATGGTAAATCAATAATTGGTTAATGAACAATTCGGATAACGAACAAAATCTTGGAACAGATTATGTTCGTTAACCAATCACCCACTGTATTATTGAGATCATGCATTATTGTTTCTTTCCATAATTATCAAGACAAATATTCTCTCTTCATTGCAGTAATAACATCTAAAATATGAATGATATCCATTCCTAATCATATTTCTTGGTGATGACAGAGAAAACAAAAAAGTGATTTTCATTTCTGAAAGTTTGTCATCTCCACTGATCAGATCTAGGAAGCTGGTTTAAGAAATACTTTTTAATTGTTGTCCAAATCAAGGTCATTGAGAAACTTTATTCTTGAAATGTGCTTTTTTATGAGTTATGGTTTCAACAAGTTTTAAAATGTGATTAAGGTTTACACATTCTCTTCAAATTGACCCTGTGACTGAACCAGCTGCTTGGTAGTTGCAAGCATGGAACATTGGAACATCACCAAACTTTTTATGCTACTTCTCATGAGGTCTGCATTTGAATGGTAGTTTTGACCTTGTTATTATTTCAAAAACATTAAAAAAATTGTTGACTTAAGTTAGTTATTAAATTTTGTCTTGTTTTTATTTTGGAATTTAATTTATATATATTATACATACACTTTTATATATATACTATTTTTGTGGTATTACTGTTTAGAATATATTATCATATTAGGTATTAGGACAAATATTTATTAACTTGTAAATAATTTTATACCAGGTTAGAAGAATATTGGTACTTTTTTTATATTGAAAGTGATAGTTGATTAAATTTACTAATTAGTTAAATGGAAAATTGAATAAAATCACATTAAATTACAGTATTCTTTTTGTTAGGAATATGTTTGTTATTCTGTAATTTGTAATATAAACACAAATCTATTCCTACACTCCTTAAAAGTAAAATTGCAACACCACAAAGGAATGCACATAGTCACCTGCAAATTTCAGGACCAGTAAAGGTGACAGATATGCAAATGATTAAGTTCACGTGGGATCCAGTTTCAGGCTCTAAAGACCAGCAGCAGGCTTGGATCATAAATTCTACCAGTGACGGTTTGCAGTAACCGAACTTGCAAAGAAGCATAGAAAATGCCTTGGAGATGACAGTGAATTGAATACCACCAGTTAATGGTTGGGGAATGAGACTGTATCCTGGTGCTGAATGACCATGGTTTGTTGATATGCATGTTGGGCACACTATGAATACCATCCAGTGATGTGTAACACAATGGACACGGAAACATCTGCAAACAGGCTGAAGAAGGAGTGGACTGCACTGGCTTACGACAGAGCACATAGATTGGCAGATTTGCTGAATAGCCTTGGGACCCATTTGCCATGGCATGTGATATCTGAAACTGCCTGTTATCATCAACAGGTTCATCTGTGTCCACCCAACCATTTGCAATAGGTTGCTTGAATTCAGCAGGCTGCATGCAATCCATGTGCCATAAACCATTTGACACAGACTGTATGCCTGATGTTGTGGTGTTGTCATCACAACTGGATCACTGAATGACATTGGGTATTATTTATGGATGAATTCTGCTTCTGTTTGTGGAGGAATGATAGCCATGGATGGGTGTGGCAGTAACCCGGGGAACACTGCGTGCCAGCTTTTTTCGTAGTGTTACACTGGGCATCATGGTTTGGGGAGGCATCATGTTTGATCAGCAGACAGCCCTGGTGCACATTTATGATACTCTGACAGTGGACCACTATATCACACGAATTGTGTGGTTGGTAGTTTAGCCACTGGTGCAGGCTGCACCTGATGCGCTGTTTCAGCAAGACAATGTCTGACTGTATGTTGCATGGCAAACTCTCACCAGCCTGAACAGAATTTATATCTTTCCCTGGCTGGCATCCTCACTGGATCTTTCTCCCCTTGAACACTTGTGGGACCTTGTCCAGTATGAGGTATACTGGGGTCCACTCCCACATATCATAGACAACATGCACATGACAGTGAATGCAGTTCGGCAAGGGATACCTCAGACAACCATTAATCATTTCATTGTTGTATGCTTTGCTGTAGAGCAGCCTATATAGCTGTCCATGGGGAGGGCATATTCATTATTGAATAAACAGGTGTCTGTTGCACATCTTTATTCTTTTAATCATTTGCATGTGTCTCATCTCTACCAATCCTGCAATGTGCACATAGCTATGCACATTTTTTTGTGGTGTTGCGATTTCACTTTTGAGGAGTGTATATATTAAAAACTCAATTAAACAAAATTGAATAAATGCTTAAAAATAAAGGACCACATTTTAATAAGTCTAGTGAGCATATTTTAGCTATTTTTTCCAAGAAATCATTATCATTGGTAACATGATGACACATTTTCTGAAATGCATATAAAAGTTATAAATATTTGATGTGAAAAGATTTTTGTGATCTAGGCCTATAGTGTACATTATTTTATTGTTTGAAGAAAATTGATACTTAAGCCATATTACAGTTTTATTTAAGAAACAAATAGTCTCACTTGAAGCAACTAGAGTTTTCTCAAGTATTTAAACTAAGAAACAAAACAATTTTTAGAATTTTCTGATTTTCCCCCCTCTTTAAAAAGTTACTATTTAAAATAATAATTTCTTGTTCTTTAATGCCAAAATTAGAAATAAATAAATTAAAATTTCACATTGCAAAATTTTAATTTTGTATATTATTTTATTCATTACTGAAATTTATACAGGCCAAATAACAAAAAAGATAATTTTTAATTTATATGTTTTTATTGTCTTCACTTTTGTAATTCACTGTAATGTAATGTTTACTACTTTTAGAAAGAAAATTATTTCATTACCAAAAACGATATTAAAGTAGACATAAATACTCCTTATTTTAACAAAAATTTCTGTTTTCCTATTTAATATTAATTGAAAATGTTTTTGTTAAAATATAATTTTTAGTAGTGTTGTAACGAATAGTATATTCGGCCAGGAGCGTGGCCGAATAGCCGAATATTCGGCCAAACTATTCGGCTCGATTATCGCACGTACGAAAATTGGCGCGAAAACCGCATTATGGCAAGGANTAAACAAATGACACTAACTCTATAACATTAACTCTAAATACCAAAATGATTAATTTACTGTGTTTTTGTTGTTTATAACTCCTGTTTTTAGGTATTCGGTATTCGGCTGAATAGTGAAAAATAGGCCGAATAGTAACCGAATATTCGTTACATCACTAATTTTTAAGTTTGAATTTTTTAGGTGTTTCTCAATACATTTATAGATTAAGCTACTTTGCTGTATAAATGTTTTATTTTCCTAGTAGTGACATTACAATCACTAGTATTCATTTAGGCTTTATTATTTTTATTTATTTATTTTTTGGTCTAATTAATTATTTCATTTTAATCTAATATTTATATTAAGTTTAATATTAATATTTTTGTAAATTTTTTATTTTTTCAGTTCTTTGTGCAAAGAATTTAGCAAAAAAAGATTTTTTTCGTGAGTACATAACTTTATTTTTAAAATAAAAATTTTGATATATATTATACCTTAATTTGAAAAGTTCATGTTATATTAATATCAAAAATGTTATAAATAAATGAGTAATTTCAGTTTAATATAATTTTCTTATATTTCTAATATTTATACAATCTTAATTTAAAATATGGAAAATATTTCTCAGATTTTTTAAATTCTTTTTAAAATTTACATTTTGAATAAGTTTTTAGTTTATTTTGTTTATTTTGATAAAGATTAATATTTAAATTTTTATTCATTATATAATGTAATTCAATGAAATCTTTAAAATTAATTTATATATATTTTTAACTATATAAAATCATCGTTCCAATTCTTTTTATATAAAATGAAGATCTACAAAATAAGCTTTTCTTTTGATATTATTGAAAATATCAGCTTTATCTGATTACAGCAACTGAACTACAATTAAAGTTTAAATAGAATAGAATTTATATTTCTAATTATAATTAAGTGTAATTAGACTTTACATATTTAGAATTTTAAGTAATTTTTCAAAATATAATTAAATTGCAATTTATATTTAAATATATTCATTTATTATACCTATTCAAATTTGTAATTTAATTAATAAGTATGACAGTGTAAATTTTAGATATTTAGAACATTTTGATTAATATTCATGTAATTTGTTTTGAATAATTTATGTTCATAAATACCCATATGAAATATTTCATAAAAATCAAGCTTGTAATAAAACTAATTAATATTATCAGTTTAAATATAGTTTAATAAAGGATATTATTTACACTTCTGTATAATATATATGACTCAATTATAATATTAAGGAAATGCTTCTTGATTTTTCTTTCAACAATGCATATTTTTAAACAGCTGCTTTTTTTTTTCTTCTTCAGATAAAGCTTATTAATATTTTATAAGCTATAATATAAATTTAACACTAATTCTTAATTTAAAAAGTTAAAATTTTAGGAATATATTTGTTTGATATATACCAAAACATTGAAGATTACATATTTATGTAAATAAATCAGTATATGATTTGAAGAAAAACAAAATTATTATAAAACATTTTTATATAATTTTAAATATATGAATTAATATCATTATCACTATATTAATTTGTATGTCTAAAGTTGTATAATTTATAAATATTCATAAAATTATTTATTTTATAAAAGTATATATTTTATATCATAATAGCTATAGTTCTACAGATATAAAAATTGTATAATTATATAATGTTTATGTATTCATACTAATATTAACTTTCTATTAAATTCTGAAAAAAATTATTCATATTTGAAAATGTTCAAAAGTTATTTATTATTAAAATATACTGTTGAAAATAAGACATAATTAACTTAAAAGAAACAGTTTTAATAATGCATTCAGTTAATACAAATTTAAGATTTAATGAATTCATCTTGAGACTTAGTAACTTAAATAGAAAAGTTGTTTTATAACATAAATGTAATTCAAATATTGAGAAATATGTCGTACCTCTTGTTATTATTTTTTATATTAGTAAATAAAATGTAAAATGTGTTAACAAATATTCATTGTTTAATATATAGGGTATTTATAAATGAATGGTGCAGTTTTAAAAATTAATAATAAATCTATTTATTACCTTATATGGGCAAACCTTACAGCATAAGCAGTGGCAAGTGTCCAATTTTTTTATGCGCTAATCACTCTCGTGAAGAACTGAAGTTAAAAATGGAGGATGATGGGTTTGTAGAAAGACTCATCTTCTGCGATGAAGCCACTTTCCATGTAAGTGGCAAGGTGAACACACACAATGTCTGTATCTGGGGAAGCGAGAAACCACATACACTGATAGAGCATCAGCGTGACTGTCCAAAAGTGAACATTTTCTGTGTGGTATTGCACAAGAAAGTGTACGGCCCATCTTTCTTTGAACAACAGACAGTGATGGGTGACTCATTTCTAGACATGTTGGAAACCTGGTTGTTACCTGAGCTGAACACCAATTGTGATGACTACATTTTGCAACTGGAAGGTGCTCTGCCCCATTTTCACAGGAATGTATACGAGCTTCTTAATTGTGTTCTTCACCAGTGCTGGATTGGACATGGTGCAACAGCAGACATCAAACAGCTCCCCTGGCAACCCCATTCACCAGATTTAACACCTTTCAATTTCTTTTTGTGGGGTTTGTTAAAGACTGAGTTTATGTACTGTCGATGCTTGTGTCCCTTGAGGAACTGTGTGATCAGATAAAGTATGCACAGACCATCAAAGTGCTGGAGGACATGCTACACTGCGTATGGGAAAAATTTGATTACCATGTAGATGTGTGTCGTGCGACCATGGGTGCACATAGTGATTAATGCATAAAAAACTTGGACAGTTGCCGCTGTTTATGCTGTAAAGTTTGCCCATATAAGATAATAAATGGATTTATTATTAATTTTTAAAATTGTTCCATTCATTTATAAACACCCTGTATATATATATCAATTTATGCATTTTTAAATTGAACAGTCTGAAAGTAATCAAAAAGTTTAGAGTCAAATTTATGAATAATAATCTAGTAAACAATAACTGCACTCCAGTTTTATTGTTGTTCTTTTTATTATTGAATTTTCATGAGAGAATATTTTATGATGAAATATTGTAAAAATAGGATACTTAAATACAGTGGAACCTCGGTATACGACCTTAATCCGTTCCTGGTGTTTGGACTTATACCGAATAGGACGTATACCGAACCAACCTTTTCCATAAGAAGTAATGTAAAAATGATTAATCCGTTCTCATGTAAAAAAAATGGCTGGCTTTAAACACCTCGCTTTCCTGGCTAGTTTCTGCTTGATTTTTCATGAGAGCAGCATGTATCCTTTTAACTTTCTCGCAAATAATTTCTTCCGATACGCTGTCGCCGGCACACTGTTTTTCAGTTATCCAAAGCAAAAGCAATTTCTCGACATGATCTAATGTCTTCGATCTCTGTTTAGAAATTGATTTAACCCCTTTCGCAACGTTAGCAAATTTAATAATGTCTTTATTTTTCACGATTGTCGATATCGTCGTTCTCGGAATACGGAATGCAACAGTTAAATCTCGAACACGCGTGCCACCTTCATATTTCTCAACAATCTCTTTTTTCAGTTCCGTTGTGATTCTAGTCATTTTTTTATTTTTCTGTTGCCCTTTTGCAATTCATGATTAATAAAAATAATAAAATGTTACTTACAAATTAAAATCAGAAGAAATTTAACAAAGTTATAAACCGTAGCACCGCGAACGTCTAGTCTAGTGTAGTACACCGATAATGCTAATTGTTCATAGATGGCAAGTATAATTGAATTAAGTCGTATACCGAGCAAAATTTGTTTCGTCCAAACAGGACGTATTCCGAATTGGATGTATTCTAAAGCAGACGTATACCGAGGTTCCACTGTATTTTCTATTTATATTAATAAGAATGCTGTGAAATCTGGTTAATTTAAAGTAATCAAGAGAAAAAAAATTTGGACTTTGAGCTAAAAAGTTTTGAGTTGTGGAGGCTAACTAAAAATAAAGATTGTAGTCAAACTATAATTGTTTTTTTTTTTAAATTAATTTATCAAAAGTACATTTATTTATTATGTTGCTTGTTGAAAAAATTCATCAGCACTCAAATAAAACGAAAACTGAAAAAAAAGCAGGTTCAAATGGCAGTTACAGTATCTACATCACACATGCTTTATAGAAAGTTTCTGATTAGTTTATTTGATAGATGAATGTTAATTATTTTATTTAAACGAAACTTAAAATCTTGGAAATTTATGAAAATACTGTATAAAAACCTCATTCGAGTTAAACAGTTTGATGAATTCAAGTTAACCAATTTGATTTAACGTGTAAATTCCTATTCAGGGTGATCAGGGAAAGAAAATGACTTCAAGTAAACATGAATTTGAGTTATCCTGGTTTGAGTTAACCAAGGGCTGTATTCTGGTTACTGTCTCTGGTCTCTCATCTCTTGCAATCCGGTCACTGATTGGCTAATCCAAATGATTAGCCAATCAGCGACTGGCTTACGAGAGATCAGAGACAGTGACCAGAATATGGCTTCAGGTTCCACTGTATAATCTCAGTAAGAATATATAAATAAAAAGTAAATATTTATTTTTCTTAATGGAAATGACACCAAGTAAAACTGTTGAATTAGATCTGAACTATTTCATTAAGATTTCAAAAATATATATACAGGATATCCTCGTTAATTCAAACTCAGATAGTTTGAAATCCTTTTAGTTCATAACTATACTATTTGTCCTGGCTGGGAATGTAGAGATTTAAAGATTTTAGAGATGTCAAGGAATTCAGTTAGTTTGAAATATGGCTACTTTGAAATTCAAAGTGGAAATTCTGTTCAAACTGTGATATGCATATATTAACTTGATCATTTAGATCAAAGTGCCTCCTTACTATGAGAGAACATAGATCAAGAACAACTTTAATCTGGTTGACATGGTTTTGCATTTACAGTAACACATTTTCAGGTGTCACTTTACCCATGGAAAACCCTTTTTTCTCTTACCTCATAAAATATGGCTGGACAAAATTGGACTAAAAGTAACAGATTGAGATGTTTGTAGGGCTCTAATCTACTAGATTTGGTGACTTACTACTATTTGGGCTACTATAAAAATAATTTGGGCTACATTTTGAGAATTCTGCTTTATTTTTTATAAAATCTATTTGGCAACCTGTCAGGTTCTCATAGGACAACTTATGTTTACCTGCAGTGTATTTATATTATTATTAATTAACGAAAATAGCATTTTCTATATGAAGTCTATTTTGTTTGCTTAATAAATTACATCAGTTACATAACATTTGGTATACTGTACAGAAATATGTAAATCCTGGATAATTTACAACTTGATAATTCAAAGTCATGATTATTTTGTCTCTTGAATTTTAAACTAACAAGGATTTCCTGTATATATATTTCATCGTAATATTTATGTACACAATAGAAT